AGCTGATGAAAACTGGGCAGTTCAAGGTCTGCTTCTTAGATCACCAGCACTATGTATTCCATAGATCTGTATTCTCCTACAGGGAAGGTTAAAAGTCAGCAAAAGGGCAAACTGTTAGTTCTATCCATACGATATTACAAGTGCATCATATCAGAAAGCAGAAATTGAAGAAAAAATAAACACCCAAACTACTACTAATGCTAAGGATGCTCAGAATGGTCTGCAAAACAAAAGCATTCATGTGGACTTTCTGGAACTCTCTGCAAGAAATATCACTCAAAGCAAATTAGCAAAAAAAATAGAATTACACTGTCACACTCGGAGAACTTCAATGCATTTTTTCCTAGTATGTGTCACATAGGATTCTTAAATTACAAATTGCATTATTTACTTTCTATATTATTTCCCCCAAAATTGCTGTAGCCTAACACTTTTTTTTTAATCACTGGCAAGTAAACTTCTAACTAAGAAATACAGATAGCCTTTTTAAACTAATGCCATGTTTTGGCATCTTTACATCTCAGTTTATGACAAAGGAATAAACTGCCCACATTTGGGATGCAACCAGTTTCAATTATTGTGTCTCTCTAAGTCAGAAACTGTGGCTTTATCAGGCTTACTCTTTTGGAGAAGCAGAACATTTCCACAAAGCGTCATAATAATTTCTCCAATTATACTCTCATTTGCATGTCACTGTTTAGCTGAAGTTAATTTTTTTCAACTTCTGATTTGCATCAGAAATGGCTTGCTATTGTTTCCTTACACATTAACTCTCTATAGCAGCTACAAATTACTAGCCAGCCATGTCTGATGGAAGAAAGAAATGACATTCCAATCAAGTAGTTTGATTTTTTTAAAATTAAAAAAAAAGAAAAAAATGTCACCTATCCCAGCTTGTAGCAATGTAAAAAAGAGGAAAGGTTTTTTTTTTTCTAGGTATAAGGGATCTTTGCAGTTGCTTGCAGTAAAGGAAAATCTGCATGAATTGACTCAAAAGTTCAGTGAGATCTTGCCAAAAGGAACCTTATGCCACAGAATGCGACTTACACCAATAAATATACTTTCACCCACATTTCCAGATTGAAGTTTGCTGTTCATGACTCCTGAAAGCCTTCCCGTGGCTAACAGCTGATAGAAGCCTTAATCCAGGTAAGCTAGGTCTCCTCTTCTGGGGCTTCATCAACCCCTGGGCAAAGTATGTCAATTACTATGGAAACCAGGTTTTTCCTTCACATTTGTAATGGTCCCAGCCCCACAGTTAAAAAGTGAATTTTGGTCTACCCTCTTAAATCCAAGAAAATTCTTAATTCTGAGAGAATTAAGTTTATCATTCCAGATATCTATGTTTTGAGATTTCCAGTGAAACTGCAACATTAATACTTTTTGACATAACTTTATGTTAGTATTGATTTTCAAGGCCAAGAAGAAATACGATGACTTAATAAAACATCCACTTCTGAGGATGCAGTTCGCCGATAATAAAAATACTGAAGGAGTAGAAATGAGCACCCGTGACGTGTTGACTTCCCAACTCATGGCTAGCATTTATAAGGGTGAGAATTTAAGTTCTAGTATGATTCCTCCTTTGTAGCCACAGTAAACTCTGTCAGAGAAAGGTTTTCTAGTAGATCTGCAGAAACTTTACACAGCTAGGAGAAGACCTAGTTTCTCAGGTCTTCTCCCAGCTTCTCATGTCAAGTCCCTACTGTCCTATGACCTCCAAATTTTGACAAGAGCTTCCCAGATACCCCCAAGTGCTGTTTGCTATTTTAATGTCATTATTTAACACTAACACTAGTGGGGCTTAAAATCTTGAGTTGCATTTTGATTTCTCTTCTGAAGTATTTTTTTGGTAAGCTTGGAAAATTCCCCATGCAACCAAATTCTAGTCATAGCCTGCTAACTTCACATACTCTTGCCAACGCCATCACTTTCTTGGTGCAAGGACTAGAAGCAAGAGAAGTTCCAACAACAGGTAACACATTAAAAATGCATCTGTCAAAACACAATCTTTAACAAAATAAAGACTATTTTCACTTTTAACTTAAAAAACCTGAACACAAAACCTTCTAATTTTGACATCATTGATTAGCTCTAGCCAGTTCAACTACATATATATTTCTACCATAACTTAACAAATTTTACATAAAATGTTCTCATTGCCTTAGTTAAAAGCATTTTCAGGAACAGCAATTTTGTCAGTGCTCCTCTTAGCTGGTATGTCTAACTAATATCAATTAATCCGTAATATACTTATAGCAAAATCAAGACAAAGCAGGGAGTGTCATACACTCCTTAACGTTATCTTTAAATATCTTAATACTTTAATCCACTGGTACTAATAACTTACTATTATAATATTAACTCTGCATTACATTGACAGAATTTCTATTTCTGCACCATATTCAGCACATACAGTAATGGGACTAGAAGTGTCCCAAAATTTTTCCTTCTCTTTCAGGCCCTGTAGAACCATTCTACAAACTATGGCTCCTACAGATTTATGCACACAGCCACTGCAATAAATATTCTTCTTGCCAGCCTCCTATTTTGAGGCAGGAAAGTTATTTTTTATTCCAATAGTCAGGTAGATTTTCCACAGGGAGGAACTTTCATGAACAATGTTCAGCCAAGTCATTTCACGTTTGAGATGTCAGTAAAGTTAAATACATATCCTGAAGTCTAGATATTCCAAGAACACTTCAGCGACATAAAAAGCACTTAGAATTCATGATCTTGAATTTCAAACCTCTTTCTAATAGGGCTGTTAGTGAATAACAAGCACATGGTGATGCTTCTTAGTTTGTGGGGCACGTGTCTGCTTTGTTTTTGTCTTAGAAAAGCCACAAAGCCAGGCTGTAAACAGCCACACTGAATGATACAAGCCTTAAAAGTTTACTAAGTTGTATTTGTTACATCTATTTAAACTGCCCTAACACAAATGCTAAATACCTGTATATAATTAATTATACCAGATGGACTTCTACCTCAGTAAGTCTTAGCTAATAGCCTTGCATTATTCTTGTTTAAACATTTACCAATGAAACCTGTGTACTTTACTGGACACTGAATTATGATCCTTTTCAGAAATTATCCTTTTAAAACAAAAGCTATAATTGAAGCTTAAGAGGAAAATCATGTAATGGAAATGTCCTTCAATCCCCTTTTAATTAACAGCACTGTGTAAATACAAGCTAAGCTACTCATTTCCTCAAGACAATGCCTCTCAAAGTATAAGGCATTATCTCACAGAAAAATCTCAATATTAAATTGCTCGGGCTTGTACTACTTCAGACCACTTCTATCCTCTTGTCTTCCCAATTAATTCATAGGACACCTGGCCTTTTTTTCTTTTTTTGAATTGATGTTTTAAGATTAATGTTTTGAACCTCATTCTTTGCACATGCAGACCTCTACATCCACACAAAGTCCAGATGCCTGTTTATAATAGTCTCCAGCTGTCATTTGCAGTATCAGGTTGAAAGGGTTACAAGAGAGGACACACAGACTTCCAAATAAACTCTCTCCAAACCTACTGAGCACACCAAGAGAAGAGCTGCTTCAGAGTATTGCTATCTTCAGTCAAGAACACACTTCGGGTCTTTTGCGTTTTTAACCTTAATTGCACAAAGAAAGTCACTGGAGTCCAACAGCTCTTTCATTTGGCATAACTATGACATTAACCTGTAGAAATAAAGCATTCCCCTTTTAACTTTCAGCTGTAAAATGTTTGTGGGCTTTTGGCATCCACACCCACACGAATGGTCTGAGGCAGCAAAGTTAGGTACCTACATGAACAAGCAAGTTCTCTCATTAATTGGATCGAATAAACTATTTATACAAAGAGTCTATCATAAACAAAAATGTGTAAATTCATACCAGTCACTGAAAAAGTTTCTAGGGATATGCAACAATTATTCAAGTTTAATAAACTCGATAATGTATTGAACGTTTACTTTCAAATATATATTTTTAGACTGTCAATGACAAGAGAACCTTTATTTTAGCACCTAAATCAATTTAGTTCATATTCTGCATTGCATGATGCATTACAACTCTGTAAGGACTGTAACCATCCATTGTACATCATTTAGCCTGCTGGATTCATTTGTTGTTATCATTTAGTCTTTCACACTATTTCCCAACCACATCTGTTGTTGCTACCTAAAATGAACTTTGATGAACTAAATTGTTTATTTTTCCTTTGTAAGTAGTTAGGTTACTGTCAACTGTTAAATAGCTTTTGGCAGATCACTGAGTTTTGCTCTGCAGAGTATTGAAAAATTAACTAGTGAGGTTCTTCTGAAGAAACTAACACACCTCCTCTCCTAAATGACTAAGCTTTACATTTTGAGGAAAACAAATATCTGTAAGACAGAGCAGTAGTTTTTATTGCACCAGAGAATGCCTGCCTTGATGAAGATTTGAGAAACAGCAATGGATGACCACACTCCTACCACCTCAGAGCATACTTCTCACACTTGCAAGTGTCAGCAGTAATGGATGAGCATTGCAGCCAAAATTCCAATCAAGTTCCTGCATGTGCTGTTTCCCAATAGCTGTCCCCAGCCTGCTCCTTTTTTCAGACCCCACAAATTGCCCTTTGGGGATATCTATTTTTTCTATTGACTAGACACAGTGGCTTAGAGTGGAATCCAGGCTGTTTGGTTGCGGCCCTTCAAGCTCCGTTTTCTCAGAGGCAACAGAAGCAAGAGAATATAGCACACATTCAAATTCAGAAGATGAAAAGGAAACAGTTTAACACAGTGAATAAACTTTACAAAATTCTAATACAGCATTTCACAGAATGATGTAATGAGAAAGTAAACGTGACTCTTTTATCAACACTACAGACTGGATAGCATTGTTTGAGACTTTTTAATATTCAAGAGATGAAGGACATATAAAAAAAGTGTCAGCCATTCAGCAGTAAAAAAACCCAGAATTTTTAGGCATTGTGAGAAAAAAACATCACTATATCTATTACCAGCAAGCGTATGTCAGGTCATTATCATTTTAATCATGAAATGTTACTTCTCTCGCATAAAATGGCACTTTCAGATACATATACAGTGCAATCTCCTCAGTGACAAGTGTTCTGGACAAAATACAATCCTGTAAAATTCTTAAATATATCTTAATCAAGATGTTGCTATACAGCACCTCTGTAAGATGCATGCAGTATGCAAAACACATTTTGAAATAAGTTCTAGGTGTCTCTAATTTATATAAGTGGAAACAAAAATTTAGTCCATCTTTCTCTTTTTTCCTTTAGCAGGAGTTTTGGAGGTATGTTCATTTTCAGCATTTGGTTCCCAGAGTGCATTTCTTACAAATCTAGAAGCAGCTCCTTTATCGAGTTTGGATGCCTTTTTCTTATCTGCTATTTCTTTGACCTTGTTCATGTACATTCTTATTCTCTCCTGGGAGGGGAAAACAAACAAACAAACAAAAGTATATTTCACATCCTTCTCCCAGTATTGCTTTCAAAATAAAATCAATGAGTAGAAGCTCTCCACACTGGACATTTCTGTAACTACAATACCTAAAAAATAGCGTAATTTAAATACATGTAGCAGGCTCTTTTCAAACTTGAGGCTTCCCCTTTAGCAGAATTTCCATCACAGATACCTACCATACTAATATCTGCATGACATCTGCTGTCATAGGAATACGAAGTCCTACAGAGATGAAGACGGCATGTAATTTACAGTGAGCTGAAATTGCTCTTGCAAGCAAAGTTACAAAACAAAATACTGAACTAAATTTGGAGTTTGGCCTACATAAAGATGGCAAAATAATATTTAGATATTTGACATACTTATAGATGAATTATACTGCCTGTTTAAAAAAAAAAAAAATCAGCATGTCCACGCAAAGCCAAAAAGCATCTCACACGAAATCAAAGATGTTACAAGCATTACACATGCAACTACACAGAAGTCTGGTGGTTAAGATCCTGAAATGGTCAAGGGGGCTTATCAGTGAGCCTATTTAAGGCAGTCTGATGAATTTCCAGCTGTACTAGAAGCTCCTTTTATGACCATAAATAACAAAAAAAAAGCCTGTTTCCACTGCCATTCCATAAAGCAAGGGCTACCTTCTTGCCATCTGAGCCCACCATTGTCATTTGGTGTGTAAGGGGTTTTTTTGAACAAATCATGGCTAGGATTCAGCCCCATATAAGTATACCCTTCCAACTTAACAGTCTCCTTTATGTGCCTACTCATCCTCATCTACTTCTGCAAACAATAAATAAAATTATTTTGAGAGGGTAACTAAACCCCTCTAAGATGGGAATCACCCTCTGTTAAGTGCCTGCTTCTCTTCACTGACTAGAGAGGACACAATAATTCTATAAAATACATAAAAGTTTAGTTGATAGATTTCATGTCTACATATTTAGCCTAATATGGTCTTCAACCCTAGGGCCTGGAGGTGTTACTGCAATACAAACAACAGAAGCAAATATATACACACACACGTATATATAGCACTCTACCCGATACTGAATTATAAATGTGGATTAACAGAACATTTATGGATACTGCTAACTAATAAATGTTGGTATTATGTAACCCACATGTTTCTCACACAGCCATTGACAGCTCTTTGAATCTGGAACAAAAAATACAAGACTACACTACAGAAGTGCTTTTTAATCCTTCAGTGACCATTAAAAGCAACTGACTTGTCAAAAAGTTGGCCACTTTTTCTCTATCAAAAACGTAGCTTTAAAGAGGAGAGCCTTACAGGGTCTGAAATCATGATAGACTGTAATATTACTTTGGTGACTGAGATGGCTAATGAGAACAGATGGCAAACCTACATGTACCAACATGGGAAAAAGGAGCTGACAAATGTCAACGTGACAAAAGAAATGAACTCTGATAGCTTGAATGTGAGCTTTATTAATACAGTTTGAATTCCCCTGTATTCCCTCTATGTACACAAGGAGAGCAATTCTAAAAACAAAACAATCATGACAGAACAGGTTTTTTTTTTTAATTCCCTTTCCACATGAATAAGAACATCACAATGCTCTTGGAAGGAAGGAATGTGCATTCATTCACCTTGATACTTGGAAAAGAGAACTGCATCAGAATCTAGGATATTCACTCATTCTTCAGAGTTAAAACGACTGGCAATTGTGAAGTAAAATACCAGCATAAAATATCCACAGCAGAAGAGGTAAAATTTATTTTTTAGTATTGCTAAATTAACACAATATTCAAACACTATATAATATAGGAGGAACAAGAAACTGGCTGAAAGCCCATGAAATATTAACTGATCCATTTTTTATCATGATACAGTCTAGACTAGTGAAAACCTCACAAAATTAAAAATAGAAGTATTCTTGTTATTCAGGCTAGCTTTCCACATTTTTCAGTTCTATCTTCCATTCTACTGGTTACGTAAGGATTACACTTAAGCTAAGTATTTTACGATTGCCCAGATTTAATATTTTCATTTATACAGGAATTAAAATGGGTAGCTGTAAGTTTTGATTTCTATTTTTTCTTCAGGCTAAACGATTTGATTTTTTAAGTCAGCAAAATTTCCAAGATAGCCAGCCTTCTATACTGTAGTCATGCATCTAAATGGAATATAAAGACAAACCTAAAAGATTTATTATAGGTTGTAAATATGTCACTAATGCAGAATTACTGGACAATACACATACAAGTGGTGCCAAAAAAGCTTTTAGCTTTGTTGCTGAACTGGATTCTTTACTGCTGAGAAAATGAATTAATGGAGGACTTGGAAGGGGGAGGAGGGCTCTTTCCCGTCTTTGCTAGTAAATCAACTACACTATACTTTTAGAGTCATACAAAAGTAAGAAAAGGCAGCCTCAGAGATTAACATGATTCCAAGTATTTATAAGAAAAAAAATGCCATACTGGAAGTTATAAATTATTATCAGACATGTAACATTTTTCCATTTAACAGATACAAGTGAAAAGCTGCTCTGTTCAGAATCCAGTTCTTAAAGGTGAAGAAAAGATATGATGACACCATTCATCTTCTTGTTCTTTTCTAATTTCAGCAGACTCTACAACTTTGCTTTAAGCAGTACTGTTTGGAAGTAAAAGTATAACTTTCTTGATTTAGGAAGCCCATCAAGACATATGAACAGTTATATAACACTGTGTAGCATATGTGTGCTATTATGGCAACATATCAATTTTAAATGTAGATACAGACATTTTTTTTTACTTCTGTATGAGTTCATTGTCCAGGGCAAGTAAGATATTGCAGTGCATGCAGTGTAAGAATCTTACCAGTTCTTGTTTCACTGGATGTTCCTTTGGATTGATTCCCTGAGTAGCCAAGTACACTACAAGAAAAAAATACGTTTTTTTTGAAACTGAAGGCTGTCATGACTGAGGACCCAATCAGTAAGTCACATAGGAAAACTGTAGCTTCGACATGAAACCATTAATAAGAATTGGAGTTAGCTGTGTTGCTAAGTATCTGACAAACTATTGTCATCAAATACTACAGCTAAAAAAAGAAAAAAAAATCTAAATGGTTAAACTTTCTGTCCTTAAAAGGACGGAACAGGTTGCCACGAAAAAAACCAGAAAGAAACATCCTCATGCATGTATAAAGTCAGCTTTTGTAAATATCAATTTTTGATTTGGAGTTTCAACATAATTTACCCTGCAGATGGCAATAATTTTGGTTCTCAAGGTAATTACAAGTTTCTAATTATTTGGCTATAAAATATGACTATTTTATGTTTGAGGGTCTCTAGTAGGTGTTCAAATGGCAATCATAAATAGTACTTTTTCATCCTACCACATACTTACCCCAGAACATTGAATTTAATGTGTACACCGAAACCAAATCCAGCTTTGCTTGCTCAAGAGGCTCTAACTAGAATGAAAAAAAAAGCACATTTGCACGTTTTTAAGCAAGATGAGCAGATTTCAGCAATATGCACATTTTATAATTGTGAATATATTCATAAAAAAATACATACTGAATAAGCACACTTTTGTACCACAAGTGCACTAAGCCCATGTCTATGCCTTTTTCCATGCCACCACAGACAGAACCATCCCCTCCTCTGCAAATATTCACATAATTTTCCCAGTCCAATGTTAAATGCCACAGTCCCATACAGCCAAAAGCACAAAAACCTCTTGGCATGTAGCTCCTAGACTACTGTTCCTATAGTCAGAAATAAGTCCCTATTCTTCCACAGAAACGTAATTCAAAATAGCTATTGCTATCAATGGAAGAAAAAAAAAGAAGCCTTAAGATTGCTGAAGCTCAAATGTGAATATAGTATGCTACAATCACTGAACTGCACTACACATGGTAGACTCCGTGTTCAACGCATGCTGGAATACTTAGGGCTGTAAAGCAAAGGAAGAATAAAGGTAATGAGGTTTTTTTTTTCCTTGACTGTCAAAGTCAATTTATTATTTCAGTCCTATAGGATTTCCAGAAACTCTGATAACATCATTGTACAGCTCACTAGTTCTAACATGGATACTGTCAAAAGATCAGTGTTGTCAAGACCGTTTTCTTCATAATTTGTGTTAGAAATCCTCAGAGGATAAAGAAGTTCCCCCATGTGCTGGCTTTTTCTTGCCCTACAGAAAGAAATTACATTAGCCTTTAAATGTTAAAAGATACAGAGGCTCGTATGAAGTCTTCAGGCAGTACCTTGCTCTATCTTTGTGCCCTGATAAAAAACCCACATTTTACAGACCTATGCTTGTAACACAGCTGGAGGAGACAGCTCTGTTTTTCAAGCACCAGGTTCTGCAGGTCTAGACTTCTAGAATCAGATCAGTTCTCACTGCTCTCAATTCACCTTTAGATCCTTCTGGTTATACTAAGTTTCATTACATTTGTTGAGAAAAGGTCTCAGACAAAAATGTGAATGACCTCTCCATTATGAAAGAGCACTCAGCATGCACTTTAAGGAAGGTCAGGAATAAGCTAGAATGTCCCCCACCTGAATGACTCACTGGTAAGATCATCACTTTTCAGCTTAGAGGAACATGTATTTCATTGTTTAGTTTGTAAGGCTGTCTGGATACCTTAGAAATATAAGAATTTCAAATATTAGGTATCAGTGGTAAGAAGTGTCATATTTGTTATTTCTCTGTGCGCTGATTAGCCTAACAGACCCTTTTATTTCAGTTCAGGTTCCCAGGTATTCTTGTATTTATAACAAAAAGGCTGTGAAAAGGAAGGTTACCTTTTGGAGCAGCTCACTCCTGGAAATTGCCATCATTGTCTTCAGCATCTCATCTACAGAACCAAGAGATTTTTCAAATGCTGCAAGATAATCATGAATTTCAGTGGGGTAGTCTTCCGTATTAATATTATCTTCTGACATTTCCATCTGGAAAGAGGAAACAAAACTAGTAAAACATTTCCTTAAGTCCCTACAGAGTCAAGACTGTAATTTACAATACAAAGCATTAGCATTCATTAAACATTATAAGAAATGCCTACTTCTGAAGAGTTCTAGCAGGTCATGTCAATAGTGACACAGTTAAAGGTCCTATAATTTCAGGGATATCTCCTAACCTCTTTACAAAATGGCATGAAGGAGCATTACAAATTACATGACTGTAGTACCTGTTCTTGTAACAGTCCCAAACCAGTATTTAGCTTTTATGGTCTGTGATAAAAAGAAATTATTTGCTTGTTTAAAAGAAGTGCTCTATAAATCACAGTATATAAAGAGCTACACCAAGCAACAGGCAGGACACTAACAAAAACAAAAGCAAACAAAACAAAACAAAACAAAAAAACAAAACAAAACAAACAAAAAACAAAACAAACCACCACCAGGGATATGGCTTCAGCCTGTCTTGGGAACAGACATTACTTCACCTTTAAAGCAGTTATGCAGCACTGGTTACGTCAGGGTCAGTTACATCTTCCAATGCTAAATTCAGGAGTTAGTCCAAGAAATTCTTCTTGTGAACCCCGTATGCAGCTTTCTGAATTCTCTACGCGGTATTATAATCTGTGATATAACTCTACCAGTAACAAAGCTGAGTTGATTTGGGGATTTCAGAATACTCTGGAAATCTTGTAGACACATCTATGCACAGCAACTGTGAGATAATCAAAGATCTGAAAAATCCCAAAGCAGCCCCTTTTCTAACCCCAGCATTCATGGTAACATGGCACGGCTACTGCCAAGCCATCTGGCTGCTGGCTCAGAATCGGTATCTCTAATTCTTCTCAAATCATAAATAACATATTATTTTGGGGAGTTAATGTTACTTAAAGCTATGTTATTTTCTACAACTTCTACCGACTGAGCAACAACTCTTGTAAACGTCATAAAGAAAGAAGAAATACATGTTTTTCCTGTCCATTTGGTGAGCTGCATCAAGAACAGCGGGAGCACCTGGATCACTGCAGTCCTTCCTACTTAGGATCAGTGTGATAATCCCACTACCCAGCCACTGAGTACAGAGGGTGGGAACACCAATTGGAGAAACTGCACTTTATCTATGAACACCAAGCCACACAGCCAGTGCAAACAGCAAGGAAATAGCAAACAGCTTTCACATCACTGGAGTTTGTTTTAGATAAGTATTTGATCTTTCCCTTTTCCTGGCAAGAGCGTGGTATGTGTGAGAGACGTTTCTTTTTATTTATATTGTCTCCTGGAGGTCAAACAGGAAGAAGACTGGTAGGAAAAACTGTGGAGCTACTCAAGCTTGTCTGCAACTCCAGTTTTAACCACACCAGCACGATTCCAGAAATATGATCAGCCAGTTAACAAGCCCAGTTGCACTGCTGTTGTTTGCATAGTTTAGAGTTATAATCCTATTCAGCTGCATGCCTTTTTGCCCTGGTCAGACCTGGTTTTCAGATTGAGTACAGAATCACAATGCTAACCATGATATGTTGAAGGTCCCCTCCCTACCCCAGCACACAACTCACACATGTAAATTCTGTTTCAGTCAGGCCTAAGCAAAAATTTGAGCTGGACCTCAAAGATGCTGCCCACAGAAAGTCAAAATACCAATACAATTATTTCTGCCATTTATGATAGTGTATTGTTTGGGTTTCATTGCATCATGACCGCCTGCAATATAACCACTGTTCTTAGGTTGATTAAAAGAGCCCAGAAAAAATGTTTGTTGTTAACTTTTAGTCATATAATACATCATAAAAAATACTCAAAGCTACAGAAGAAACTAGATTTTCCCAGCTCTTAATACAAATAAGCTCGGTTAGAGTGTCTGTCAATACACATTTACTATACTTACAGACACTGGGAGAGAGGTGTAATTCAATCCAAAAATCATTTACAGACCTTACTATCACTACAATACTTAATCTACTATAGTCTTAATTTGATGGTCAGACACGAACACAGTAATAAATTCCAACTTTTCTCTCTGTCTTTATCAGGGCATCCAGCACCAGAAACTGCAGGAATAAAAACTCCACCAACAAAAACCTGTAGCAGCAATGTGTTATCAATCAAAACGAGCTCAAGCTATTTTACAGCGTTGCAAGGATAAGCAGTCACTAGAGCATATATGCTTTCCAATATCCCAAGGTGAACCTAAAGAATGAGACAGAGAAAGAACAGGAAGACAGAAGGAAGGACAACAGATAAAGTCCAAAATATGTTTTTCTGTGATTGCTATCTCACGAACCAGAAAGAATTAAGTTTGCCATCGTTATCACATTTACTGTCAATTAGCGAGGAAAGCGGGAAAAAAAAAATGCATCAGCCTTCAGTGGAACAAGGCTGCACATTAACCCATGTACAGTACCCTTCACTGATAAATCCACTCCTTCTGCCCAGGGAGGGGGAAGAATTTGTTGAACTTGTGTTTTCTGTTCATTCCAACAGGAACTAGCAAATTCCTACTTCTGCTGTGTAGGGACCTCTCTTTTCATTAGACTGTTGTTTCAGCATTACTAATTTCTAAGCAGGATATGTTACAGTGTTGGCACATGCCAACAATAAGGCAGCAGTGAACAGCCTAAAATAGTTTTGGTAATATTAAATCAACAAGAGCAAACTTACATTACATTAGAAAATGCGTACACCAAAAACTGCCCAGAATTGTTTCTGCCAGTCAACACCCAGACTGCACAGTCACACCTGCAGAATGACAAAGCCAAGGATGGGAGGAACTACGACCACATCAGTGATTCCCTAAACGTACCTAAAGGCTACACTGCCCTCAATAGTTATGTTTCAGATATTAAACCACAAACAGAACTTTCCTCAAAGTTTTACAAGTGTTTCTCTCTGTATTTTGAACAAGTTGATGCTTACTACACAAGCATTCCCTGTTGAATTTGCTGACTTTCAACTGAATTTTATTTGGCACTGAGATCCTGCTTAAAAAAATTAAGGTCAATACAAATGCTGGGTAAGCATGTGAATAATAGGGAAGTCTAAGGGATATAAGGATAAGACAGCATTTTCATTATCAAGTAATAACACTTATGATGCAGAACACATAATCTGTGGTTGTGATAATACTTCGTAAGATCTTTAATTTTGAAAATGCAAAGGAAAGTTCACAACCCATAAACATAAAATAGAAAAGGCCTACTTTGATTAAGGACACTGAGGCAAACAAATAGTGATGAAAAATGCAGTATGACTTCATAACATCAATCTACCAGAAACAATTTTCCATTTTAACCCTAAGCTCAAAAACTGCTGTGTACTTTTTTGGGAAAACAGCATAAGAGGTTTGAAGAAGAAGAGGACTTTAAATCACAAAAGTAGAACATTTTCAGGAGAAAACTTATTCATTGCTTTTAAGTCTGATCAAGAACTGTCTTCTAGAATGAGTTTCCACAGGTGTAAGATTTCTGAAAAATTTGGAATAAATTCCCATTTATTCAGAAACATGACTACATTAATGTAAACTTCTGCTTAAAAAACAAGCAACACCTTGTTTTTCACTCCAGTCAACATAGTATAAACCAGAGCAAGTAATACATTCAACCTGCAAAAAGAGAACAGAGGAAAATATTGGACATTATGAACCACAGAGAAGACACGAATATGAAAATGAGAAAGCAAGAGAAAATATGCAATCTTCTGCAGACTGTATAAAAAAGACTAAACTGGTGACAATCAGATGTAGTTTGCCATAGTGCTAATGTGGCTAATGATCAAGGATCCAACTGAGTTAAATGCTGTGTTAAGGAAGTTTAAATAAAACCAAAGTACGGATGATTATGCACAATACAACTAGCAAAACTGTCCATCTTCACATTTATCTTTCAGGAGAATGAACAGAAGAATTTGGCAGACTTCTTTCAAGAAAAGCACATCCATGACTGGCATACAAAAGGTAAGAAAAGGAAAAAAGGAAACTGCAGACAGTTTGCAGGTGGCTTTTATGAATAATCTTTGAATACATCTGGTGCTTTAACATAAGCCTTAGAAAGTAATTGCCAGCTGTCTTAAAAAGCAAAACCAAACTTCCCTTCCTGCCCCGCCCCCAGCAAAACTATCTGTCATGCTGAAAGACATAAACTCTAAGCCCTTGGTACCTCTGTGAGAGGTTTTGCTGCAGATGCATCGTGAAAGCAATGCAAGCTACATGCATATATCCACATGGCAATAGGAGACCCCAAAAGACAGAATTAAAAACTGCTCGGTGTTAGTGTCATGCACATGGTTTTCAACTGGAATTAAAACTGCAAGTTCAGGATAAAGATGCTGTATTTTAAATATTCTGTAACATACAAACAAAAGGTGAAAGTAATTTAGCATCCTTCATTCTGCCTGATACTGCAACTCACTTGATACTTCATGTTAATTCTTACCTAATTCCTAAGCACTAGAAGGCTTTGTCTTCATACTGATCTTAGATCTTTTATTTTTTCAGATTATTCATCTAACAAAAACCAGGTTAGACTTCCCTTCTTTGCATGGATATTTACAGATTATACAAAGAAAACCAAAACAAACCCAAACCCTTCTGGTTAGGGCATATAAAAATGCTCTCAAATTCAAAACAAATGCATTAGCAACATCAGTATGACAAACCATCTGTCAGCTCCTAAAAACTAACACTGTCCTCCCTCTCATGAGTTCTGACTCACAACATGCAGTGAACGTGGCTGATGTGCAAGTGCAGCAGAGATGTCCTTTCTGCTCTAATGCTGTAGTCCACTGCTGTGGCTACAGGACAACAAAGCAACAAGGAACAAGCACCTTTAAATTTAAAGCTACCAGAGATCATGACTAAGGTTTTTGATCACAAACCTCTACTGGGCAGGGAAATCCACTTTTCCATATTTGCAAAGCTCTCAGGCTTTTCCATGTTTGCAAAGGCTCTAATCTGTGACAGACACTCCTCAGCATTATTGCTGCATAATAAATAATTAGTTGCCCACTAGTCATCACTGTGTCCACAGATCTGTTTTGCTACTAATGCCTTTCAAACCAGCCTGGGGCAGCTGGAGAGCACATCTAGTACAATTAGTCAGCGTGCTCTTGCAACGCCAACTCACAGTCTTGTTTGCAAGAAAGATTTCCATTGCAGGAGTAATTAAGCCTACCATGAAATACCAAGTATGCGCCAACAGGCTTATCTTGATCCCCTTAAAAATATCCCAACTCAAGCCATGGTAGTTACCCAATGCGCAATTTGCACTATATTACAAATGGGCAACAGCCAAGCAATCATATTAAACCTGCTTGCAAAGCTAGGCGCCAGTCAGCATCATGACATGCACAAAAGAACCATACAAAACAGCTCACAGCCATCAGGCTCTTGCTGATGCCACTGAGATAAAGTTTCTTGAGGCCGAGAAGATTTGCAAAGTTTATTCTGATCGCTCTTAAACAAAGATTAAAATTTAAAGGGAGGGAATGATATTTTTGAGGCTCACTTACACTTCAGCCGATGGTGGGTATCACATGAGAAAACAGATATCTCAGCTTGGCTTGAACAACACATATTCACTCCAGCCCCATCTATATCCACACTAACCAACTTTGCTATAAACCTTCAACTTGATCTGCATGATTCATAAAACATTTTTATTCTCTGTAATCAGCTGTCCTAGATTCCACATCTCTGATGATATAGCCATTTCCTCTTCTGAACAAATCCAATATACCCTGGCTCTTGTTCAGCAACAACCGGTCAGTAAGTACAACAAAACCAGCTTTCTTTAGGTATGTCCAGAACACTTCCTAGTGAGAGGTTTTCATAAAAGCTCTCACACTCAGACTATGCTACCACAGCTCAGTGGGACTTTAAAGTGATGTTAAATCCGTATGTCTAAACTGGTCTTTAAAACATATACTTTTCATTGCACTGAACCCAGCAAAAACTTCTGGTACAGCAAAATACTGTCTTCTTCCACAAAGCAGCTTACACACAGTGAGTTTTTGTTTGTGACAGCAATGAATGCTGAACACTTCTGTCCTGCCAAATTTGCAAAGAACAGGAAATAACCTTCCTCCAGTCTATAGCTCCTGTATGCTCTAAACCATGGAGTTTACAAACTCTTCTAAAATTCGCTGCCACTCTCCACTGGTACCAGCACCATGAATATCCAGAATTAAAGCCAATAAGTTTTTTTATCCTTTTAAACTGCTGATCTCCTTTGTTTTCTTTAGCCACTAGTTCCACAATGTGTGAAAAAGTACTTCCTTCTATCAGAATTCAATTGCCTGTATTTACTCCTCATCCAGTACCTTTCTCTACTGTTTAGAACTGCAACCCCAATCTATTTTTGGCTGTTCATTATTTGACTGTGCTAACAAGAATATGCTCAACTACTAGAACCATATTTACTATTTTTTTTGGTTGAATATAATGTAGCAACTGTGGGATGTTGTGTTCTAAGTATCAATCTTACTGATGCAGGAGAAAAATGGGGAAAATCTTTTCTACCTATCCCCTGAATTGAATTTAAGAGCTGATAATCTGATGAAAAGGAGACCAACCAACATCAGCAAAGAAAAGGGATGTGCAAAAATCACAGAAGTGAGGGAGTAATAGGAAAAACTCATTTGGGGACATGGAGTTTTCATAGGGACTGAAGTAGATGAAAATAAAACACTGTAGGATGGAGAACAGTGATGCACTTTGGCCTGGCACAGGAAGAAAGAGCATGGCAGTAACCACAGCCGGACATGGAAGGGAGAACAAAGAACCAGGGGAATAGAACCCAAGGAATTTCCTAGCAAAGACAAAAAGAGCTTATACAGAAGAGCACACATAGGGAACACTGCCTGTGTGAAGAGGTGACTAAATGTGGTGTGTATCCTGAGGCCCAGCAGAATGCCTCACAGCAAGGCTGCATGAAGAAAAAGCAAATAGTTACAGTGAACAGAGAGGTCAGACAAACGTAATAAAGTCTGCAACCTTAAAGCTTTCACAGTCAGTTATCACATCCACTTGGCATCATCTCTAAAGTGAACAATATCAAGCTTCACTCTCATTATTACCCCTCAGTCAGTCACCTCTGTTTCTTCTTTCTGTGCTGCCTTTTCCAATTCTGGTTCTGAAACATCTACCCGGAGGCGTGGTGACCACAGGTACCACGAGGTACCATTCCAGTGCACTGTTTATTTATTTACAGGAACTGATGGTTTCCTCAGTTCACCATTCCATTCCCTACACATCCTACAATTTTGTACTGCTGTCATTAAAAAACAAACAACCTTTACTAAATGTGAGCAGTTCATATGAAAAGCAGACCAACTGCACCCAGATAAAGGATTGATTTGAAAAATCTTAAACCACTTCAAAGAAAAATGGAGTTGTCAGAACAATCTGTGTGACTTCTGCACTGCGTTTCTGATAGGAAGCCCAAAAATTCTAACAATCACTTTCAAGTTTCTCACATTCCAGGGTACAGTCTTGTGTTAAGAGCTTTCCGCATTCTTTAGCATGGGTCATACCGCCACAGGATTAGCAATATACAAGTATTTTAGACTGAAAGTGTTCTTTTATATTTTTGAAACCAAGAAACATGACAGACACCTTTCAATTTTATTTTACAATCAAGTCTTTCATTTTTGTCTCAAAAATGGGGCCTTTTAATTAGCATAATCCAGAGTTTAATTTGCAAATCGAAGTCCCTTCTAAATTGCTAGCAACAACTATGCTTGCAGTCAGAAAGCTGTGACATAGCATAAGGAAGAAGACATCTTCACCTTTGCAGCAACATGAGAGACCTGTAGCGAGATCTGTTATATTACAAAGTACTTGACCTTAGTAATTTTAATTATCACCTGCCTTTCTGTTAAGGGAAAGAGTGCTGCTGAACTATCTTAACCATGGCCTGTGCATGCAAACTATATATTCTCTTTGAAAAAACACCCTCCTCTTACAATAATTACCCAGTTCTCAAGGCTACTCGAGTTGGAACACTATTTTACTGACTTTTAATAATAACATAGCCGTTTATTGCCTGCAGTACAGCCTTCCTAGGTGCAACCATCCTCATGGCATGATGCCAGCTGAAAAGGCTACAGTCCCTATTCTCTTATTCATGGGTAACTAAACAAGTCATACATTAAACTGTGTTTACGCAAACATGATCAGCCCTGCACACAACTTGACCCCCAGTTCTGGGAGGCTATGGAGGAGTGTCCAGGCATTTCGGGCAGTGGTAACAGAACAACTTGGACTGTTCAGTACGGACTTACAGCTCCCCTAAGAAGCCAAGTTTAGCTCCTGGGTTCCTCAATTCCATGCAGACCAGGTGAAGTAGATACGCATGCAAGCCGCGGCCTTCCCAAGTTTATACCCAAAACCCCCTATCCTAACACCTCTTTGTGAAAGATTAAACACTTCAGAGACACGGTAAAATGGGATTTTAGCATCCGACCCGACTTCCCGAATGTGTATGGTGGTAACAGTTCCTCAGGGAGCTGGATGTACCCTGACGTGCCCGCACACCACCGTGGTTTCACGTTAAGCCTTTTTTACCACTCTGCGTCTCTTCTCCACTAGACCCGCGAGGCCGAGAACAGCCACCAAAGACCTCCACTCCCGACAACGCACCTCCCTCTTTTTCAAGCGCCTCAGAGAAAAAAAAAACAAAACAAAACAAAAAAAAAACCAAACCCAAGCCCCAGGAAGAGATGTGAACGCCTTCCCAATTCCCAGGCCGGCGGCGCGGCCCACGAGCCGTACCACCCGCCGGCGGGGAAGCGGGGAGAGCGGGCAGGCCCATCTCGGGGGGGGGGGGGGGGGGGGGGGGTACGATGACACACACGACACGACACGACACGACACGACACGACACGACACGACACGACACGACACGACACGACCACGCAGCCCCACGCACGGGATGAGGACAAAGAAAAAGGCGGGAGGAGCCGCCTCTTACCTCCGCGACAGGCGGCCTAGCCCCGAGCTCCCGCCCCCCACCCGCCACTCCCTCACGGCGCGCTGCGGTGACGTCAGCGCCAGGGCCCTTAGGGCGGCCGTTGACGCCGGGTGCTCGCCCGCTGAGGGGCGGCTCCGGGGGGGGGGAAGTGCGTGCTGAGAAGTGTGTGCCGCGTCCCGGCGGGTGAGCGCTTCTGGTAAGGCGCGGAATAGGGGTGACGTGCTGGGTACGGTGATGGCAGCGGCTTCCGGCCCTCACGGGGGAAAAAAAAAAAAAAAAACCAAAAAACAAAACCGGGCTCCGCTCTTTTAGGGCAGAAGACCGTGCTTTTCGGCAGACGGCTCGTCTAGGTGAAGTAGGTAAACAGCCCCCACCGGTTCCAGTTGCTTGCTGGAAAAGGAGAGGCACCGACTGGTTTTAGAGGTGGTGCCTTGATGCCGGAGATCGCTCGTTTACACGAGTGGGAGGGCATCGGTTCCTGGCTGAGGCTGCACATCTTCCCCTCATCCTCGGGCGAGGGTTCTTTATAATAGCGTTATCGGCTGTGATTTCCATTGTGGTCCTCCTCGAGATTTCAGCAAATAAATCAGGATTCAAAAGGCAGTGGATTAATATTTCTCCACTGCGAGAGCTTGCTGACTGGAAGATTGTACAAACACGTCTGTGGCTCCCAAAGTCGCGTTTTTCTGATTTACATTCTGATAAACGGAAATCAGTATCCACATCAAAAAGTATTGGCATTACTAGCCAAAGACCTCCTTTTGCCTCCTTTTTGTTCATAGTCTCCTCTGAAGCTGATTGTAACTAAAGTCTACAGCCTATCCTTGCCAAGGCAGATCAAGATAGGATCACTGGAATCCTTCGGTGTGGTTGGAGAGGGCCTGGTCTCAACTATAGGTTTGGCAGGAGTGTATGTGGCTGATTAAGTCGTGGCTGGTTGCCTGGAGGGAATATGCTGAGCTGGCTTACTCAACATCAGGGGTTCTAGAGGAAGAGAAAACCAGGACCAGTCTGAAGAAGGGTGAGGTCAAGGCTGGCTAAAGTGGAAGAGTGTATTCATAGAGGGAGCAGGACTAGAAGTTTGTGGTCCTACCTAGCTTCAGTGCATTTCTCTGTGCCTTCAATGCAATTTAAAATACTGCAAAAGTGACCTTCCTTTTAATAAGTTGGTTTACATCAAAGGACGATACTGTGTCTATTCTAATTAAATCAGTCTGAAATGCAAATGAGAGTCTTTCTCCCTACTCCCCGTTGGAAGCATATCTAAAGATCTTCAGATGGAATAGTTACTCGTTTACATCTTGTCATCTCCTTTTCCTTCAGGAAATTTAGAGGTTTAGGTTTTCAGTTTCAACCAAAAACGTCTGCAAAAAAGCAATACAGTTTATTTATTTATTTAATAATAGAGTGTTTACAAAAGCAGGAAACACAGGGATTCTTTCAGCTCCATGTGGGATGTACATACGGATAGTAGAACCACTGTGGTAGGGAAGAGTATCCCTACTGTCTGCTAATATTTTAGTGTAATAATATAATGTTTCACTCAATTCTCATAACCATTATTTTTAAAAATACAGTCTTAATTATTTTATGTTTTTCATTTTTACTAGTACAGAGTTATGCACTGTAAGTAAAATGAAGTTTAGGAGAGATTTCTTTTTAAAAAATCAGAAATGCAACAGTCTGAAGGGCAGCAGAGAAATAGCAAGACCTACACTCCTAAGTAAAATAGTATTTTACACTTACAGTGTGCTGTGTCTACAAGGACCTCATAACACTTGACATATGTTTAGTTCATTCTTGCCTTGGTTTTCACGTGTCACAGGTTGGGAAATACATAGAGGGAAGTTGACTGATAGACTAATTGATTTACCAAATGTTAGGTAGACATTTCTGTCAGGGTCTTATTTCCTAAACCCAATATTTTGTTTCAATTACAAGAGCAAAGGAAAATGCAACACATGCTGATCAATGTTCAGATTCAGCCAACTCTGTAGAATATTGTAACCACATATAGCATTAATGCAGTACAGGTTGCACTGAGAGTATTTCATGATCATACAGTGTGGCTCTCTGTCTCCTTCTAGTGTTTTACATTAGTTATAGATTTGCTACTGGCTCCAAACTACTATAGATTTACACTTTTGTTCAGTTAACTGGAGGTCATATACTGAGTGCCGTTAAGTCTTGAAATTTCTTGAGGCAGTTCACTCAGGGGATTAGCAGGTATATAAGCATTCATTTTCTTCTTAAAATGGCCGTGTTGCTTGTTTGGTTTTCAAGAGCAGAGAGTGAGGAGTTAAGGATTTACATTTATCCCAGCCAAAATCTGATTGAGATACAGCTCATATAATTCAATTGTTTTATGCTGGTGCCACTCTGAAAATATATTATGATTTTATATATGGCTATCTATACAAAAATCTATCCAAGAAAAGCTATACTGCCATCTGGTACTTAATGGAAGCCATTTTATTTGAGAGGCCTGTGAATGATTATTGATTTTTCTCTATCATTCCCAAAACAACAGAAAACAATCCTGAGTATTTTCACCAAAGTAGTCAGTGACAGACATCTTTAACATAATTACTCCCTTGTTATGATGCATCTCATTCATTGTACATACAGTATATTGACTCCTGCAGTCAATGTTCTTTGTGGAGCAGATGTGGAGGCCAAATCCTGTCATCTTGACCTCACTGGAAACACAATGCTTACAGCTTGGGTCATGCAAAGCATCACAGCCTGATATACAGACCAGCTGTGGCAACTCCCAATTCCCAGAAACAATGACACTGAAAAGCTTTTGGAGATGCTCATATAGAAGACAAGATAAATTTAAAAATAGCCTAGATTCTTCTTCTGGAATATGGTGTGAATACAAAGGATGCTAGAAGCTACTTGTAACAAAAGGGTTAATACATCATCAGCAGGATAAAAATACAGATGCTACAAACAGATGAAAATCAAAAGGTGGTTGTAATAGGCATCTGTATTCATCCTAAGGGAGAAAATAAAGCAATAGAATTGCTTTATTTGCACATCCAGCTGCTTCTGACACTAATCACTCTCTGGCCTTTTAATGTGAGTCTTAATGAGAGCAGCAGAGATAATTCATTAAATAATTTAGCCTTTCTAAGTAGAATTTTTTATCAGCTGTCCACCATAAGCCCTTTCTAGCAATTACTGGAAAGCCTGTACATCCAACCACAGAGAACATTCCCTTTTATTCTGTCAGTCTCCGTCTTAAACCTCTAGAGATTCAGCAATCATGCTGAAAATGCTAAACTAATGCAAACTTAAATGAGATCATGTCAGTGTGAGTACAGCTAATCTGTGTTGAAACTAAACAGAAATTCTGTTACCTCTGGTCAGCCTATTACTTGCATTTAAAATGTGTTTGTCTGAACTTGTGCAACATCACATTTTAAACTATTTTATGAACGAGTTTGTCTGCACCTGCGTTACATAAGCTGCAGACCTTTTCACAGCAGTTCCTGACCTAGCATGTTAAAAGTCAAGCTATGACCAAAGTAATTAAAAAGCAGAGTATGAAATGCCAGGTCGGAGCGAGCAGATCATTTTGGGAGATGTTAGTTTGTGTAGTACACTTGTGTCTGAAGGGCTGCAGCCACACTGGGCGTTTCTGGGATAGGCGTTTTGTAATTTGGAGGCCTGTTTCTTTGCAATGTAATCTAATTAATTTGCAATCATCTGATGTGTGGGCAGACCAGCAAGTTACCAGGACAGGATGTCACAGGAGTAAGCTGAAGCATGAATATCCATCTGCTCACCAGTACCTGCCTGCCTATGTGCACTTGCTATTCGGTGGAAGAGGGGTGAGTACCTGATGTTTCCTCTGGTAAATCAGAGGATGAACATTCGTAAAAGGAGAATTCATAAAAGGCATCTGTCTGACCCCATGGCATGTTTATGGTAACTTAACATCTCTGCCTGTATTCTGCAGAGTCCAGATATATTCAGGGAGCAGGGAGGCAGGGCAGGAATAGAGATTTTACAGTGATTTATTACAAGGTGGATGGTAAGTCCAGAAAGAGAGCCCAAGACACGTGGATGCCAGGTTTGTGTCCCAGCCATTAGATACTTGAGGCTAACTCACAAGGATGTCTTGCATCTTCAGGAACAAAAAACCCTGCAGCAGTGACACTTAGGACAGTGGAAAAGAAGTGTAACCTCCAAAATTTTCTATGTTGTGATACAGTTTGCTGGACTTAGGGCCAGCATATTAAGCAGCCTAAGCCCAGGTGAACTCAGACTCACCTTTCAGTTAAAAAGTTCTGGAAATGTCTTTTTTTTTGGCACTCAAATTAAATTAGAATGACTTTAAACCTACTAAACACAGACTCTTTGTCTTTTTGAAAACATTTCTAATCAAAATACCGATGTAAAAGTACATGGAAAGAAGGAAACTGAGCTTGATGTAGCTTTGTTTTAGAGAGGAAAAATAATATAATTCAATAAGACTAGCTTAAACCCTCTGATGAAGGCTTTTTTAACATAACTGATAGGGAAGATGAGATCTACACTGAGATAAAGATAGTTAGTACAGATCAAAAGAGCTTGTGTTCATGCCAACTAGATTAAATGACAGGATGTGGTGAAGTGCTGGGTACCATATCTGGTTACTTTACATACAAAGCTTTATTTGCTTAATGTAGATATGTCTATTAGGTTATATGCATTTATATATTGAAACAGTAGAAATAAATTGAAAGCAACCTGCCATGTGTAGAGTATTTGTTCTGATACTGTTTGAAGATTGCATTTCTTCCAATTAGTATGCAAAGCTGTAATTTTTTATAGCTGTCTCTCTCGGTAAGATTGTGGAGGTAAATTGTATTAGAAATTGAGGTTTATTTCTAAATGCATTCCCATTCCACCATCCTCACTTGTTTGCTTCTGTGAATAAATTCAATAGAACCACGTATTTCATACTCCAACTTCATTTTAGCAGAAAGCCTACAACAACTTTAGGAGTAAATTAACTTAGGACCCAAATTGCAGTTGTCATTTTAAAGCGTTTTTTATATTTATTTATCTGCACATGGCCCCTGAAGAGGCAGGATACAGGACTGGAAGGCTCGCTGGTCTAATCCAGTGTGGCTGCTCCTATGTTTCTCATATACTCTGCAACAGCAGGATGCAGGAGGAAGGGAATGTGAATGTCGTGAAGGGAAAACACTGCTGGATATGAAGGTGCCAGAGGCCCATGCCACTGTGCACTTCTGCAAGGCAGCAGCAAGGTTCTATCCCTCACATCTGCTGAACAGGCCACAAAGTCCTGGCCAGTCAAGCTACGCCAGAAAGAAACACGAAGGAGAAATTCTGTCATCTCTGCAGAAAGATTGATGACTCAGAAAATAAAAGGTTTAGCACGGGATGCAACTGAACTGATCAGATTTCATTAGCTGTACCTACATTTTTCTGTTATTTTTCATTGTCTCTACAGTGCTGCCTAGAAACCTGAGCCTCACAGTGCACCAACCTGGAAATACTTATAAGAAGATTGTCTCTGTCTCAGAAATCTTAAACAATAAGCAAAAGACAAAAGATGAAGAGAGCAGGAGGAAAAAGCCTTTAATACACAGAGGACATCACTAGTGTTGGATTGTTTCTGGCAGACAGATGCAGGACAGGCTGGAGCAACATCTCAGTGTAACCAGAGCCAGAAACAACTACAACGGCAGCAGGAGAGGTGCACGGTTCCATTATGGTCTGTGACACAGTGAAGAGGGCAAGAGGGTGCAGCTCCCTTAGCCCTCCCAGCAAATCCACAAATAAGAACAACTCAAAGCTTTGTGCCACTTTGGTGCAAAGTGAGGATAACATAGCACTTCTGTGTTGATGGAAATGTTGGCACGAAAAAAATTGGGTCCTCGATATTTTATGAAACACAAATATTGCCAGTGGTGGGTTTTAATTTAAGCAACCTGTAAGAGAAGGAATTGGAAGCAGCTGGGACTTGGAGATTTCACCAGTAATTTACTTGAAAGAAAGAGTAGTGTCAACTGCAGGACTGTAGCAGTGTAACAGTGGGCACCTGATACAATGCAGTCTGATAAACAAGCGGAGCTATTATGTCTGAATCACTGCCACACAAAAAGGTCCCATCAGGTCTCAATTGCTGAGCAGTTCTGTGGGCCTTACTGCCATCCTGCAACGCATGCGTCCTCTGGCTTCAGCGAATGTCTTAAATGTTTCATAACCTTAAACTCCAAAGCAACCTAGGAGATCTTTCCTGCGCTTTTTTATGTTGTTGATGGGCATTTCATAGTGATGAAAACCAATCGGCTCCACTGCCATGCTTAAGAAGGTCAGGGTGTAACATTCTGATCAGGAAATACCCCCAAAAGCAGGCAACCTTGGGTAGCCTCTTGCACACTGACAGAAGAAGCAGCTGTTGGTCTGGGAAGAGAACCTTAGTCTGTACAGGCTGTTCTTACTGCCAAGCTCAGCAGAGAAGGGAATTTACAGGTGCCTCCACGTGGTTCTGCAGCTCAGCTCGTTCTGCGCATCCCCAGACATGGAGATGGCGACTAAAGATTTACTGATCTTACAGAGGTGGGGAGTACAGGCTGGAGGGAAGGAGATCCCTTGGAAGTAGAGAAAACTGGAGCAGACACACCTGTCCCAGAGGTTGTAGCTCTACTACTAAGCTAAACAGCGATGGGCTTGTTCTCTGACTTAGAGACCAGCTGTGACCATGCTGTTAAATTGAGCTGGTCTCCGAAGCAGAGCTGCCATACACAGGCTGCCAAACCAAGAGCAGCTCCTGCTCACACTCAAGTCCTGAATCACACCAGCAAATTATTTGGCCAGTTGCTAGCTGGCCCGGATCAACTAGTTAAAAGTGTAACGCTGCAGAGTATTATAGGGGAGAGATATTCTGCTGTGATCCCCTTTGCTGCAGGGTCCTACAAAATTTCTCTGCCTCTTCGCTGGCAATTGCCTTACTGGTGACTGAGGAAGTGGAAGGCCAAAGCATGTGGCAGCTCACTGTTCTTGAGACCCCTGCAGCGCTCAAGCAACACTGACCTACTTCCATGTCCTCTGTGGTTAACGCTGCGCAACGGCAAGGGCAGGCTGTGTGGCAAAAAGCAGGTGCTCCCAAAAAAGCTGTCAAGGAATGAAAACCTTTTACAACGAAGGCTAGAACTGACCACGTCACCAAGTCACCAGATAGCTCTGGCCCAGTTCACAGAAAACCCATCTGGTCTTTCCTCTGGGCTGGACCTGTGCTGCTGTGCTGTACACCGCACACAAAGGAGTTCAGCTCTCAGGTCCCCCCTGAGTTAACAGCTGCCCTTGCCCAAAGCACTGGGACTCGTGTTTGCTACTACAAAATATTTTGCATGCACAAAGGCTTTAAATACAATCTAGTCATACAGACTGTGACCTGTGGATTCTTTAAGGAGTAGGCAGTTTTTCTGTTTAGAGTGCTTGCTACTGAAAATACAGCAGCAACAGCCTCAGGAGCGAGAAAACGCAGGCTTAATAATTGGGGGGGGGGGGGGGGGGAGGAAGTACTGAATAAATGTGTTTTCTGGCAGTTTGTCGATACCAGCTTTACAGTTAGACATCTTTACTACAGTGATGAATATGCAAGCCACAAGTTAGTAGCTTCTTACTTATCAGTGAGCTTAGCCAAACAGTCTTTATTTGTGTTTTGCCAATTGACGGGGTTAACACAAAGGACACAGACACCAAGCTAAAGAAATAGGCTTATTTTACTTTAGTAGAAATAGAAATTTTACTATAGTAGAAATAGCAGAAAGAATAAGCAAGGTAATGCACCTAGACATTACTATTTAAAGCTAGCTATAGTGATTAAGAAAGATACATCACCAATTGCCCTCATACTTTACCATCATCCAGACCCGTGCATCAGCTGGGGAGCCCCGTCACAGCGAAGGGTCGGAGAGCCTTTCCCAGAAATTGGGAAGTCCTACGCAGTGCGTCCACTCGTAGGTGAGGTCTCCGTCTTTGCTGTGAGAGGGTCCAGCTTTTATACAGTTTAACAAACAAGTCTAAACAAAACGCACAGGAGATATCTGGTAGATTGATATGCCTCACTCAGGCATGTCCGGATCTGGCCAGGATCCCGGCATGTCTGAGGAGTTTCTGTTTTTCTTTACATTTGGGATTTATAGTTACTTCCTATTGTTTACTTATAGTTCCCAAGGATTGTTCCCAGGGTTACATTTTCATGCTGATAAGATACTGGTTGCTTCAGTCTGCTGATAAGATGCTGATTGCTGGTCGGGGAATTCACTCAGAAGTCAACTTTGGTTTGAGGCCTATTGTTTGGGCCCCTTTTTGTTTCAATCGGTCCTTTGACTTATGAGTGAAGATCACGACCCTTTTGGAAGAGCCCAATATGTTCGCTCTATCCATTTGATACGATACCATACATAACAATTATATAAAGTAATAATAATAATGATAACTAACAGTATTACAAGAGGATGTATTAAGAAATTCAACACTTGGGTTGCAGAGGATGAATATCCAGTAAAGATGTCCCACCAGTGGTGTGCAGTCTCCTTTTCCATCTGGCTAGCTAGCGACATTAGTTGATTCTTTGTGATTACAGTCTGTATCACAGAGTCTGACAGAGTTTTATTTCGTCGTTCTAGGTGTCGTCGCAAATGTTCTGATTGTTCCATGATGGTTTTCAGTGGAGTCAGGGATAAGCTGATTCCATTAAGTCCTAAGCTTTGGGGATGCCAGTACATGTTTAGTCGTTCTTCATGCGTTGAATAAAAAGTATACATCTGTCCGTGCCAGATGAGATAGAATACATTTCTGAGGCATCCCGAAAATGGAGTACTTAGATTATACATTTCTATAATATTTTTATCATTTGTTACTATACAAACATGCTTAGCACTAATTTCTACAAACATATCAAAGCTTTTGGGCAAAATTGTCCATTTACACAGATTCACTGAATGTTCCAATAAACATGGTTCATATAACCGCGAGCTTTGTCCACACAATAAACCATTTGCTGTGGACGTACACAAATCTAATTTATGGGTTCGATTCCTAGAGTCTATATAATCTCCCTCCAAGTGGGGCAGCCAATATTCTGGTTCAAAGGGTGTTTTTTCCCCCAAAATTACAGGCAGTACTAGAAATTTACACATAACTTCAGGTTGGCTAATATTGTAGTGGATTATTTGACGAGCACAGAATAAATCTGTGCACTGCACTGTCTGTGGCGATAATTTGACCCAATGGGTTTGAGGAATCCATTTCTTAAATATGTTTCTCCATAACAGCTCATTATTAGCCATTAAGTACTAGATATAGTGACATTTGAATTATCTGTAGGACAGGTTACAAAAAGACGTCCACGATCTCTCCATCGTGATGCTGGTCCTGAAGGCCACCAGTATGTACATGTTTCGTTATACTGAGTACTGAAAGTAAGATTGGCTATGATACAGGCAGAATTGGCTTTGCATCGGAAATCATCCTGTTGTCTTGTCTTGGTTGCATTTTTCCATTGCCACCTAAGCGGTGTCTCTCGTGGACCTTCCAGTGGCCATCCTGGTGTGAAAGCCTTTCCCAAATGGACCATGATGATACACAGGCAAATCCATCTTAGCAGGATCTAAAAGACAGAATCTTAAGACTTCTAGTTATTCTCGCAGATAACATTTAGTCGCAGGAACATATTCCCATTTTTCCTGTCCAGGTTTCATGATTAAAACAGTATTGTCTTTTCCTGTGGCTATTACTTCAGCTGGTTCAGGAGGTACGCTTGAACTCTGGACCCATACTTTAGCTCCGTTATTGAAATTAGTTGATCCAAACCCTTTATCTCCATGAACAGTGGTAACTTGAGGTGGATCCCCTTTTTTCACAATTGCTTTCAAAACTGGCAATATCAATAGTTGTGTGAGTTTTGGGTAATATTTCCCGATGCCCACAATGCCATTGAATTCATAAGAATTTTACCGTTTGGGATGGTTCTTGAATCTTGTTAGGATTAATTTCCCAACCTTTCTGTCTCATATGATCTACTACCTGTTCAAGTATTTGTTGTACTTCCTTCTCATCATTTCCCTGAATTAGGATATCATCAATGTAATGCACTATTTGCATATGAGGAGGCAATTTTATCTTATCCAGATGCTCAGCCACTGTCCGATGGCAAATGGTTGGACTATGCAGCCATCCCTGAGGCAATCTGGTAAAGGTATACTGTCTTCCTTGCCAGGTGAAGGCAAATTGGTCCCAATGCTCCTCTGCAATTGGGATAGTGAAAAAGGCGTTAGCTAAATCTATTACAGCATACCAAGTCCCTGAATGCTTTTGAACCTTTTCTATTAAAGTAATAGTATCTGGTACAGCTGCTGTAAGTGGTGCGGTGTGTTTATTTAATTCCCTAAAATCTACTGTCATTCTCCATGACCCATCACTTTTCTTGACAGGCCATACCGGATTGTTCCAAGCTGTGGTAACTGGTTTCAACACTCCTGCATCTAATAAATCTTTAATTGTCTGTGATATCTCCTCATGCCCTCCTGGAATTCTATATTGTTTCATAGTCACTAATTTAGTAGCAGCAGGAATCTGTACAGGAGGCATTTTCACTTTTCCTACTAAAATTGTTCTAATACTGATATGATTTTTCACCCCAAACTGGTACTGACCGTCTGGGAGATTCAAAGTTAGTCCCTTCAGAATGTCTATTCCGATTATGTATTCAGGAATGGGGACAATCATGACTGAATACAGTTGTTTTGGGAGGTTTCCTATTTTCATTTCAATTTGAGTTTGTACAGCTTCAATTTGTTTCCCACCCAGACCTGTAATGATTACAGGTTGTCCTTTAAATTTCTTTGGATTCCCATATATCAAGGAGGCCTCCGCTCCTGTGTCAATTAAGGCTTTTACTGTTTGTGAGGACCGGTTTTTTCCAAAATATTTGGAGCTCCACATGGGGCTGTCGGTCCTTCCGTGCCCATTGCACTGGAGCTTGGCCATAATTTCATTCCTGTTTACTGCTCTGGACAATTTCCCTAGTCTCCTTCCATGGGTATAAATCAGAATACAGCTCCCAATCCCCCCTTTCCCCCGGAACAACTGATCGGCCCACGGAGGGCCCACCGTGTGCAGATAGGAAGTCCCGTTGAGGCTCAGGAGGAGGTGCTGTAGGCTGAGTTACCCCTGGCTTCTTAGTTTCAGAACTCTGCACTCTCCTGCTAGGCTTATTCAGCCCTCTTTGTTTGTATATTTGCCACAGCTCGTTAGTTGGAACACCATCAATCTTTTCATGAGATAGGCCATCCTTCAGTAAAGCTGTAAACATTTCTTTGCGAGAGACTCTGTTCTCATTTCCTTTAGGGCTGTCCCGAGTATCTCGGTTTCCTGCGCTTCCTCGGGGGCCCCATTCTCCAAGATCACCTAGTTGCTGTATTTTTTCAATTATTTCATCAATGGGATTTCCGGTCTCATTAATTAAGAGAGTCATTATTACATTTTTATATGCTGGTGGGGCACTTTTAATCAATCGGTTTCTATGAGTGACAGACAAGGCAGTTTGCATCATTCTGTCAGGGTCTCCTATAAAGATTGCCAATTTCATCCCTTCCTCCTTCATCCGCTGTATACAATCTCGCAAAGTATACCAGGGACGTTCCCCACCTGGCCAATCATTCTCCGTGGGGTATTTATTATTACATCCCCGGGCAGCCAAGGTTAACAAATTTGTATCCTGAGGATTATTTCGGAATGCATCTTGCACAAAGGAGTCAGAACTCAAAACTAAAAACTTCCTAGAGTCCTCTGGATCTAGGGTTACCCCTGCTGCTCCCTGATCGTGCAAACGCACCATCCAAGAGAGCAGGGGTTCCCCCGGTCTCTGCTTAAATCTTTCAATTATATCATTTATTTCATGCTGAGTATAATCTTCAATCACATCCTTCCTTACTTGTTGCCCATTAGTATCCAATTCTATTTTCCGTCTCCACACTGGTTTTACATCCACAGGTTCATCTGAGGAACCAGCCTCATCAGAACCTGTAGAATCCCAAATATCTCCATCCCATCTGTCAGGATCCCACTGTACCCCTGCTTCTGCAATCACAGCATGCACTTTCCTATGGTTTACTCGTCCCCTTCTTTTCTTATACTTATACTGTGCAACTCTTACTGCAGCTCTTTCAGCTACAGTCTGATAAGTATCCAACTTATCGGCAAGCAACTTGTTTTGACACTGTAACATTACAATTTGATTCTGCAAATCACACATCTGTCGCTCCATGTGGGAGCGCTCTAACAACAGTTTTTCTTTCTGTTGGTGCTGTTTCCGATATGCTGTTAACAAAACCCATCCCTGTCTTCCCAAACACACAATTTCTTTTCCTTTTTCGATAGATAATTTTTGGATACATTTTAATACATCCAATGGTTCAGCTTCTTTTAGCCGACTTTCCCACTGTTCACATGGTCCTCCGACCTTAGTCCACTCAAGAGCCAGTGAACTATAAGGAAGGTCTTCCCAT